ATATGTAACCTATATATATGTTATTATTATATATATATAAAGGCATTTTACATTCTTCTCACACTCTTGCATTATTCTAAACAGTGTTTATATCTAAACACTAAACGCTCTAAAAGAGCACAGCCTGTCATGATCTCAGCTCCCTGCCTCCGACTGCACTCTGTCATTACTTCCCAGCACTCTCGGCCACGCCCACTTCTCCTGTGCAGAGCAAAGATATGACAAGCTGCAGGAGGAAGCTTCTCCTGCAAGCTGTGGGCTGCACAAAGGTGCAGCAGGTGCTAAATATTTTAAAACAATTTATTTTAAATAAAAATTCCCTGCCAATAGTGTAGCTCATCCATCAATCAGGCAATTGTGTGTCATGTCCAATCTTATTTTGAAAAACCGTGATAGAACAAGTCCGTGAAAAGGGACTAATGTATAAGGTGAAATTCAAATAACTTGTTAATTTTATATAAAACCCAGCTTGTCTTCAGTGATTTGAAATGTGCTTGTTTGTGTGTGTGTGTGTTTGCATGTTGTCAGGTTTTTTGTGCCCTTTGTTCCAATCTAAAGTTCCGACTTACACATCTGGATGGCAAGGAGGGACGGGTTTGTGTTTCCTGTCATTCAACCCTCATCAAAAGTGAGTAAAACTGTGTTTTTGTTTTAGTTTACAATCAATAATTTAAGGTAAAGATTCACATAAGCTGTGGTGGGCACAGCTAACCAAATAGTTAGCTTAATCAGGTAAAACAAAACAAAAGTTAGCTGAAGCTAAATCTAAGTCAAGATGACTGTCACTCAGTCTGCGTCCCACATCTTTGCCTCCTTCCAGTTGAAGTCGTGTCGACCAATCACGTCTTGTCACATGCAAGCTACTTGTGGTCAGCCAATAGCGTGCCTAACAGACTCTCTGAGACACACCCACAACAGACAGGAACAAGTTTGTGAATTTTGTTAGTAGACAAAGTTGGTGAAACCTAATTTAGTGGATGCTAATTCCACTAATGGCTTCCAAAGTTAACAAAAACAATAATACGCTAAATGAAAAATTAGTTCCGCTATTAACCGTTAGCAGATTAGCGGAACTGTGCCCACCACTGCACATAAGCGACTTCTACATCTTCCCCCTCAGGGACTCCCCCAGGAGGGAAAAGGAAAGTGTGGTTTGCAGACAAAATCCTTGCCAATCAGCAGTCTGAGTCGGCCCCAACTACTCCAGTGAGGGAACCTTCCTTCTCACCACTGATGAGGCGAGCCCTGGAGGAGACTGACAAAAGTCCTGTTGGGTCGCCACATGTCAGGAGAAGCTCGAGGTCACACAGAACAATGATCAGTGTAGGTTTGCTTCAGATGTTACCAGATTCACTATTAAGAGCATGATTTTAGTTGTACAGTACAGTAAGTTAGAGAACATTAATATTCCTGCTAGTGTTTCTTATGCAGATAAGACAGTTCAGAGATTTTACAATATATCAGTTCTTTTTTTATCTGCCTCACTAGGAGGCCTGTGGTCCTTATGGCTGGGGCACCACGGCTTTAGTGAGCAACTCTCCCAACCTCATTCCCTTGGACGGTCTGCCACCAATCCTCACCTCCACAGGAGTCAAAGGAGGTGAGTTAATAACTGTTTATTCTAATGTGTCCTAGCAGAAGGTAAAAAAAAAAAATTGTTCCATTATGTTAGTTAGATAGTTGACTGATCAAACGGCCAAAATGAGTTAAATCTGTTTCTATACATCTTAATTTTTTATATTTAACTAATCTGGAACAAATGATTTGTGCTATTTGTGTTCTGATTTGACTAAATTCTGAAGAAACAAGACATAATGGAAATTTAACAGTTTATTTGTTTAACAAATAGGGACCTCGGTATCATGTGGAAGAACCATACACAGCCACAACAGCTTGGCACCTCCTCCTTATACTGTTCACCTGTTTGGTCACACACTACTGAAGGATGGCATCTCTATGTTTAGATGGCTAACCAATTAAAAATGTCATAAAGAGCTTGTGTACTTGTGACTGCAAAGTTTATTTAATTAAAAGGAATTACATTTTTCTATTTCCTGAAATTATCGTTTTGAAGATACACAATTTCTGCCCAAAGGTGACAGTACTTATTACCTTTAGTTATTCTACTATGTGTTCATGTATTTTATGCAAGTTATTGTGATAGCAGTATCACAAAACTCATGCCGCACTCTTACTTCAAAGATAAATATAAACTTGTCCCACCTATTTAAACAAGGCTGTTTTATTAATAACAGCACTGTTTATTATGTTTTTATTTAGAGCCCCACTCAGGTAGTTACTACCGTACTTTCTGCCGTACATGTCGCACCGCCATATAAGTCGCATCAGTCCAAATATGTCTAATAAAGTGGGAAAAAAACATAAATAAGTCGCTTCGCCACATAATTCGCAACTATTATGCGTAACCGCTGATGCATTGTGTTTGTTATGCATCACCACTGACCACCTGGAAATGTGGGCTGGTGTTGTGCCAAAAATCGATTAGCTGCCAAATGGCGGCCGCGGGAGCGTGCACGGGAGGACTTTAACAAGATTAACACTTAAAAACAATTATTTGTTTGCTCAAAATTATTGCAAAGGTGCGTCTGTTTAACTTTTCCTTAATAAATGCACTTTAACGGTTAAATCAGCTGCATTTCGCCTGGGCGGCACGATGAAATGCAGCTGATTTGACGATTGCTCTAGGAGTTCCGAAGCGAGACCAAGATGGCTTTGTATGGCAAGCCAAGTGTCTCATTAATAGCCACTTTTATCTATTAATGAGACACTGGCCACATTAGATGAGGTCCCTCTAGTGGCTGAAAGTGGCAGTGTTCAATTATTTTCCATGTCAGAATGAATGAAATCGTTTGGTTATAAATATGGGGAAAAAAAACTTATATTAGTCGATTCGGTGTATAAGTCGCAGGGCATGCTAATTTATGCAAAAAGGTGCAACTTATACAGCAAAAAATATGGTAATTCTTATTGAGAATGATGAAGATGGTTCCTTCAGTCGGTGACCGCTGACATGATTTAGATTCAGATGTTTACACCACCTTGAAGCACAAGAACATAAAGAAGATATTTCCCCCGTCAGATTACACTGTGGATGAAAAGCCCTCTGAGATGCTGCTCATCCAGGAGCTGGAGAGTGGCAGGTCCAAGCCAGTGGTGTTTGTTCTCAATGCGAACCTGCTCGCCATGGTCAACCTGGTCAACTGTATGTACTTTATCTTTCTTGTTTATTTTTGCTGCTTTTAGAGATAAAGTTCACACTAAAACTAAAGGTGGATTAACCTGAAGTCGTACTACTTTTATCCTGCAAGTCGCATTCTTTAAACAAAATGTTCTTGCAGAACACTGATGTTTCCTGATTGTGTGGTCAGATGTAAACAGGAAGTGCTGGTGTGTGACAACAAAGGGAATGCATGCTTTGGGCCAGGTGGAGGTGGTGGTGCTTCTTCAGTGTCTGCCTGACGAAAAAAGCTTCCCCAAAGACATTTTTAGTCACTTCATCCAGCTGTACAGGGACTGTCTCACAGGTCAGAGACTTGCACGTGGAACTCATGCTGTAACTGTTGAATGCTGGGTATTCACCTCATCATTACTCAATGGTTGTGTCGTTCTTTGCTTCTGCAGGGAAGGTTATAAAACACCTGTCATTCTTCCTGTTCGGCAGTCGATTTTTAGGCAGTCGGGAGCACGCTGGCTTCCTGTATGTTTGCTCCACTCTGCAGTCCCTTCAAGGTCTACCTCTGCCCAACCAGCCTTACCTCTTTGGCCTGCTGGTCCACAGAGCAGAAGTGGCATGGGCCAAATCTTTCCCCCTGCGACTCATGCTGCGACTGGGGGCAGAGTACAGATGTAAGCCAATCTGCTCTGTGACATCTGTACAGCTATGCTGCTTCAGGTTTCCTTTTTACTCATTCACTTTACTTCTGCTTGTCTAGTTTATCCGTGTCCTCTGTACAGCGTGCGATTCAGGAAGCCCCTGTTTGGGGAAATAGGTCACACCATAATGAGACTGTTAGTGGTGAGTATCATGAGTTACAACAGCTTTCATTTCCTACAAAACCCAATTTACAGGAGTAAGTTTATAAAATATCTATTAAACTTCTTATAAAAGATAATTAACTTTTTTCTTTTTTTGGAACGTTCTATTTTGTAGGACTTTAGAAATTACCGTTACAGCCTACCAACGGTGGCGGGGCTTACTGTGGATCTAGAAGCTCAAAGCACCTTAATAAAGATCCCAACCACAGGCTATAATGAGGTATAACCGCAAAGCATCAGAAGATATTCAGATGTATTTTTTTCAATTATCATTAATTGGTTTTGTTCACTTGTCTCGTAATAGATAATGAAGGCTTTGAATAAGTGCAATGAGCATGTGCTGGCTATAGGAGCATCTTTCAATGAGAGAGCAGACTCCCACCTGATCTGTGTGCAAACAGATGACGACCAGTACCAAACCCAAGCTATCAGCATCCACAACCAGCCACGCAAAGGTACTTTCAAGCTGTTAGTCTCATTACTTACACATGATCACAACAGTCCTAACTTTAGGACAAGATCTACATTTGTGTATGGATCGACTTGTGTGTGTGTGTGTGTGTGTATATATA